TAAGAGAGAGAGAGAGAGAGAGAGAGAGAGAGATCCATTACACTATACAGTACTGTATATAATGTAAAAATAGACTAAAATATATTTACAATGAGATAAATAAATAGAAATCGATTGAATGGATGTGAATGATTGATATCACGATATACTGCATTCAGCACACGATTTACAGACAAAACACACATAGAATAAGTGATATATAAGTTATGGTTTTGAGATGTAATTATCAATAGATACACACATTTAATAAATAAAATAATATCTTACTTGTGGTGAACAGTAATAGTTAACGTTAGCGACGGGTACTTGCGTTGAGGCCATACATATGGCGCGGAATAAATACAAAACACCCATTATTATACACAATCGGCGAAATAATATGACACTATTAGTGCAAACATAAAACAAACAAAACAATACATTAAAATCAATATTAGCTTATAATTTGAGTTAATTAACAATGTTATGTCAAAACCCCAGTACTGGTTATGCCATAACCTCAAAAATACTCGTCTCATTAACAATATATTTATATTTAATTTAATATAACGAGTGGTCGACAAACATGTGTATAAGGATAGGGCAAACACTGCCTTTTCAATAGAGTAGTCGCCGTTATATAACTGTCTTTTCCGATATAATATTCAGATTGAAATTACATTGTTTTCAATTAAACGCTAAATATTTTAAGGCCTTAAAGTTAAACGAGTGGTCAAATATAATAACCGTACTGTTAATTAACATCGAGTTCATAATATACTAATAATTATTATAACTATGACTAATATGTGTGTGAAATACAGACCGATATCTGTGGAGTAATATGAGTACAACGACACCAATCACTTGTATAACAATGATATACTCGGCCACCGAAAGGGCCCAATCGGCTGCCGGCAGGACGTCGAACGAGATGTCGGGCAGCGGTGGTTGGCTTCGGGGCACCCGTTCGTGAATTATGGCCAAAACCGTCAGATTTAGTGTCATATTCGCGAAGACAAACACAAACGCTAAGAACGAGCGCCACAGAGAGTTCGGCTCCTTATTGGACACCAATTTGTCGCCTTTTCTCATAAAACTGTCGGGTATTGGGATCTGAATGAGTCCCGAGCGGTGCTCTTTGGCCGATGACGTGCTCGACGTGAGTGAGTCGGTCAGCGTTGTGGTCACTGTTGCCCGCAATGTGGCCGTTGTGGTCGACGCCATCGACGGGCCCGTCATCGCAGCGATAGTGTTGTCGCCGCTGAGTATGCAATGATTGGTGCGCGAAGAGGAGGACGACTGCCGGTCGACACCACCGGGCGTTTGGTGATCGCACTGGTGGTCGACAGCGGCCGCGGATGTGTTGCCGGCGGCCGTCAGGAGCGGCACATAATGTGTTTCGTGCGACACCGACGGCAACAGTGGTTCCGATTCGTTGATAGCGGCGGCGGTCGCCGTCCGACTAATGGCCGACCGGTGGTCGACGACCGATAGGTTTCGCGACAAACGTATTGTCGGCTGATTTGCTGAATGACTTCCGGATGACGATAGGGTTACCACTTGTGTCCCCAAATCGGCCATCAATTGACTCCTGAGGAGTGAAATTACAACAAAATTATAATTAATTTTTTCTCATATTATTTATTGACAAATGAATTGAAAACATATGAGAAATGAAATGAAATGAAACAAAACATTACTTTTAATACAGTATTGAATGAGAAATGACTGAATGAATGCTTTTCATTGATAAGCCATTCAAACAAAACACTGTTTTTTGTATTGTTTTCAATGAATCGGTTGTGAAAAGTGTTGACCAAAAGTGTGGACACAAATCACTACTGGATTTCAATACTAATTATAATAATAATAACGAGTTTATAATGAGATGAATGACTGTATGTCTGGTATAATATGTATCACTGTTTTGGCTGCGAATGTCGTAATCAAAGTTAACATTAATATTGAATTAATAAATACATTAATGAATTGAAAACAGTGTTTGCATTGAATGACTGAACGAATGATTCACACAATTATTGCCACAAAACGCGTCGAGACGTCAACCAAAACATTACACTTCAGTCAAACACTGCGTTAACACAACTCGTATAACAGTATACACTGTACTGACAGTTAGTGCTTGAGTTCAGTGCAGCCGCGCATACAGTGAGCAC